CTTTCCTTCCTTTTTCTTTCCTTTCCTTTCCTTTTTTTTTTCCTTTCCTTTCCTTCCTTTTCCTTTCCTTTCCTTTCCTTCCCTTTTCTTTCCTTTCCTTTTTTTTCCTTTCCTTTCCTTCCCTTCCTTTTTCTTTCCTTTCTTTTCTTTCCTTCCTTTTTCTTTCCTTTCCTTTCCTTCCTTTTTATTTCCTTTCCTTTCCTTCCTTTTCCTTTCCTTTCCTTTCCTTCCCTTTTCTTTCCTTTCCTTTTTTTTCCTTTTCTTCCCTTCCCTTCCCTTTCCTTTCCTTTTTCTTTCCTTCCTTTTTCTTTCCTTTCGTTTCCTTCCTTTTCCTTTCCTTTTCTTTCCTTTCCTTCCCTTCCTTTTCCTTTCCTTTCTTTTCTTTCCTTCCTTTTTCTTTCCTTTCGTTTCCTTCCTTTTCTTTTCCTTTCCTTTCCTTTCCTTCCCTTTTCTTTCCTTTCCTTTTTTTTCCTTTCCTTCCCTTCCTTTTTCTTTCCTTTCTTTTCTTTCCTTCCTTTTTCTTTCCTTTCGTTTCCTTCCTTTTCCTTTCCTTTCCTTTCCTTCCCTTTTCTTTCCTTTCCTTTTTTTTCCTTCCTTTTTCTTTCCTTTCTCCACCAGGAGAACCTACTACAAGCCCAAAACCAGGCTGGAAAAACCTGGGCACATCCCCCCCACCGTCCCCAGCGGACGCCACCCAGGGCCACAAACAGAGGGCCCAAATGTTGGGCATTTCTTTCGAAGGGTTGACACGAGTTAGCCAAAGTGTTCCCCGCAATCTGCCAGCCAAACCGGGAAGACCCCAGGCTGAACGTGACGGAAATGAAGAGCTTCAGAAGAACTGGCTGGCTTGCAAAGATCTCATTAGTTAGGAGAAGCAAGGTTTCCACAGAAGCCCCCCCCCTCTCTCTCTCTCTCTCTCTCATTCTCTCTCTCTCTCTCTCTTTCTCTCTCTTTCTTTTTCTTTCTCTCTCTCCCTCTCCCTCTCTTCCTCTTTCTCTCTCTCCCTTTCTTTCTCTCATTCTCTCCCTCTCCTTTTCTTTCTCCCTTTCTCTCTGTCTGTCTCTCTCCCCCTTTCTCTCTCTCTCTCTTTCTTTCTCTCATTCTCTCTCCCTCTCTTCCTTTTTCTTTCTCCCTTTCTTTTTCTCTCACTCTCTCTCCCTTTCTTTCTCTCATTCTCTCTTCCCTCTCTTCCTCTTTTTTTCTCCCTTTCTTTTTCTCTTTCTCTCTCCCCCTTCTCCCTCTCCCTCTCTCTCCCTTTCTCTTTGTCTCTTTCTTTCTTCTCTCTCTCTTTTTCTCTCATTCTCTCTCCTTTTCTCTCTTTCTGTCTCTCTCCCCCTTTCTCTCTCTCTCTTTCTTCTCTCCCTCTTCTTTCTCTCACTCTCTCTCCCTTTCTTTCTCTCATTCTCTCTCCCTCTCTTCCTCTTTTTCTTTCTCCCTTTCTCTTTCTCTCTTTTTCTCTCCCCCTTCTCCCTCTCCCTCTCTCCCTTTCTCTCTTTCTGTCTCTTTCTTTCTTCTCTCTCTCCCTATCTCTCTCTTTTCCTTTCTTTCTCTCATTCTATCTCTCCCTTTTTCTTTCTCTCTCTCCCTTTTTCCCTTTCTTTCTCTTTCTCTCTTCCCCCCTCTCTCCCTTTCTCTCATTCTCTCTCCCTTTCTTTCTTTCTCTCCTTTTCCCTCTTTCTCTCATTCTCTCTCTCCCTCCCTTTCTTTCTCTCTCTCCGTCTCTTTCTCTTTCTCTCTCTCTCTCTCTCTCTCTCTCTCTCTCTCTCTCTCTCTCTCTCTTTCTCTCTCTCTCTCTCTCTCTCGTCAAGAAGACCTCACTACAGCCTGGCCCGATCCTGGAGTCCACACTGAGGTGCATCCCTTTGACATTGTCCCCTAGGAACCTTGCGCACAGTGGCAGCCAGCCGCTCACTGTCCCAGCCCCACCCCAACGTTTTGGCAAAGAAGATAGGCAAGAATGAAAAACAAGGCTAGCCGATTATATTTCTGCCGTAATGAGAGCGGAGGAATGCCTTCTGTCTTTCCCTCACCACACCGAAATAATCTCCAAGAGCTCAGCCTGGCTTCACCTCCCACGTTTCTCTCCTGGTGCTTCAGTGGCTGTCCGTGCGTCTCCATCCTTCCCCGTTTCCTGATGAAACCTAGCAACCCTGGAAGGGAGGCAGGGATTTAACAATTTAGGGGAAGGGGGGGCAGAAGGGGAACCCATCAAATTCGCAAACAACACCAAGGTGGCGGGAATAGCCAACCTTTTAGAACAGGGGCCTTCCAACGTGGCCCTTTGATGACTGGTGGACTTCAACTCCCAGAATTCCTCAGCCTGGCTGAGGAATTCTGGGAGTTGAAGTCCACCAGTCATCAAAGGGCCACGTTTGAAGACCCCTGTCTTAAATCTAACAAACAAAATGGAGGCTGGCTGAGGAATTCTGGGACTTGAAGTCCGCCAGTCATCAAAGGGCCACGTTGGAAGGCCCCTGTCTTAAACCTAACAAACAAAATGGAGGCTGGCTGAGGAATTCTGGGAGTTGAAGTCCACGAGTCATCAAAGGGCCACGTTGGAAGGCCCCTGTCTTAAACCTAACAAACAAAATGGAGGCTGGCTGAGGAATTCTGGGAGTTGAAGTCCACGAGTCATCAAAGGGCCACGTTGGAAGGCCCCTGTCTTAAATCTAACAAACAAAATGGAGGCTGGCTGAGGAATTCTGGGAGCTAAAGTCCACAAGTCATCAAAAGGCCAAGTTTGAAGACCCCTGTCTTAAATCTAACAAACAAAATGGAGATTGGCTGAGGAATTCTGGGAGTTGAAGCCCACAAGTCATCAAAGGGTCACATTTGAAGACCCCTGTCTTAAATCTAATAAACAAAATGGAGGCTGGCTGAGGAATTCTGGGAGCTGAAGTCCACAAGTCATAAAAGGGCCATGTTTGAAGACCCCTGTCTTAAATCTAACAAACAAAGTGGAGGCTGGCTGAGGAATTCTGGGAGTTGAAGTCCACCAGTCCTAAAAGGGCCATGTTTGAAGACCCCTGTCTTAAATCTAACAAACAAAATGGAGGCTGGCTGAGGAATTCTGGGAGTTGAAGTCCACCAGTCCTAAAAGAGCCAAGTTTGAAGACCCCTGTCTTAAATCTATCAAACAAAATGGAGGCTGGCTGAGGAATTCTGGGAGCTGAAGTCCACAAGTCATCAAAGGGCCAAGTTGAAAGACCCCCGTTTTAGAAGATAGACTGAAGATCCAGAAGGATCTTGAACACAGGACCCTGTCCCAACAAAACGCAGTTTGGTGGGGAGAAAAATAAGGTCCTGCACTTAGGCAGGAAAAAGCAAATCCACCAGTAGAGAACAGGTGATGTCTTGCTGAAGCCTGTGAGAAGGATCTAGGAGATCTGGTGGACCACCACTTAAATAGGAGCCACCAGTGTGTTTCAGCTGCCAAAAAGGCCAACACAATCCAAGCCTGCAACAATAGAGGGATAGTATCAAGACCATCAGAAGTGATAGTATCACTTTATACTGCATGGGTGTCCAGTAATACGAAAAAGATGCTGAGACTCTAGAAAGAGTGCAGAGAAGAGCAACAAAGATGATTAGGGGACTGAAAGCTAAAACATATACAGAACGGTGGCTGGAATTAGATACATCCAGTTTAATGAAAATAAAGATTAGGTGGGGACATGATAGCAGTCTTCCGGTGAACCATACGATGAACAATTTACAGGAACTAGATACGTCTAGTCTATTGAAGAGAAGGACCAGGGGGTGACATGATAGCCGTCTTTGAATATTTGAGGGGCTGCCACAAAGAAGAGGCAGTCAAGCTATTCTCCAAAGCACCTGAAGGCAGGACAAGAAGCAACGGAGGGAAACTTACCAAGGAGAGAAGGAATCTGGTTGAGCAGGGGGTTGGACTAGATCTCCAAGGTCCCTTCCAACTCTGTTATTCTATGATTCTGTAAGGGTCTCCTGCGTGAGCAAGAGGCTGGACTAGAAGACCTCCAAGGTCTCTTCCCACTGATTCTGTAACTGTCTCCTGCTTGAGCAGGGGGTTGGACTGGATGACCTCCAAGGTCCCTTCCAACTCTGTTATTCTATGATTCTGTAACCATCTCCTGCTTGAGCAGGGGGTTGGACTAGAAGACCTCCAAGGTCCCTTCCCACTGATTCTGTAACTGTCTCCTGCTTGAGCAGGGGGTTGGACTAGAAGACCTCCAAGGTCCCTTCCAACTCTGTTATTCTATGATTCTGTAACCGTCTCGTGCTTGAGCAGGGGGCTGGACTAGAAGACCTCCAAGGTCCCTTCCCAATCCGTATTCTCAACCGCCTTTGGCTCTCAGGATGAGCCCAGGTGGGCGCAGCAGGAGGGGGCTAAGAAGAGGCTGCCCCCCCCAAAAAGCCCCCTCGGGGTCGCCGCCTGCGGGACGACCTCCGACTCGGCCAGGGCCCGGGGCCCTAAGACCGTAGCCCCCCCCCACCCTCCACTCTCCCTCCTTCTCGGGATCGGGGCTGCGCGGCTGACGGCCCAGCCAGGGGAAACCCGGACGGGGAGGGGGCAGCGGTTGGAGGGGAGGGGGGGTCGACCCAGCAGGCTTCCGCAGAAGCGCCTGCCCGGCGGATCGCGTCCCCCCCCCCGGGCTGGGGGGGGGGGGCTGGGTGGGAAAGGAGGAGGGGGGGCTCCTGGGCCAAACGGAGGCTTAAGCAAACCCAGATGGCTGGCTGGGCTGCTGGGCGCCCCCCCCCACACATACACACACACACACACACTGCCGCAACGGCAACGGGGGCTTCAGCTGACAGCCTCCCCCGCCCGGCGCTTGGAGAGAGGCGAGCGGCGGCAGCTGCTCCTCCGCAAAGGCGCCGCCAAAGCAGCAGCAGCCGCCGCCGCCGGGGGGTGGGAGGCGCCGCGTCCGGGTGTGTGTTTGTGTGTGTGTGTGTGTGTGTGTGTTTGTGTGTGTGTGTGAGCGGGGGAAAGCTCGCCAGCCCAGCCCAGCCCAGCGCCCGGCATGAAGAACTTGCCGCTGATGGAGGCGGAGGCGCGCTGGAAGCGCTTCTGCCTGAAGGAGCTGCGCGGCATCCAGAAGCTCAAGCGCAGGAGCCGGCCGGGGTTGCTGCTGCGCGGCGGCGGCGTCGGGGGGCAGCAGCCGGGGGTCTCGGAGCACGTGCGCCCGGCCGGGGCTGCGCGCCCCCCGGGCTTCGGCGAGGGAGCCTTCCCGGGGCTGCGCTGCCCAGGCGCCCCCTTCCCGGAGGAGGAGGAGGAGGAGGAGGAAGAGGCGCCGTCGTCCGGGGGGCCCCCCGAGAGCATCTTGGCGCCCCTCCCTTGCCGGGGGCTGTACGGCGGGCCCGGCGGCCACCCCGAGGGCTCCGCGGCTTCGCCTCGCAGGCGGCCCAGCGACCCGGCCGGCGGTGGAGGAGGCGGCGGCGGCCCGGAGATCAAAGCGCTGCAGCAGACCCGGCGCCTGCTGGCCAACGCCCGCGAGCGGACCCGGGTGCACACCATCAGCGCCGCCTTCGAGGCGCTCCGCAAGCAGGTAAGCCGGACCCACACACAGAGAGAGAGAGAGAGAGAGAGAGAGAGAGAGAGAGAGAGAGAGATGCACACAGACACGCACACACACACACACAGAGAGAGAGAGAGAGAGAGAGATGCACACAGACGCACACACACACACACACACAGAGAGAGAGAGAGAGAGAGAGATGCACACAGACACGCACACACACACACACACACACACACACACAGAGAGAGAGACAGAGAGAGAGACATGCACACAGACACGCACACAGACACGCACACAGACTGCACACCATCAGCGCCGCCTTTGAGGCGCTCCGCAAGCAGGAAAGCCGGACCCACGCGCACACACACACACAGAGAGACACGCACACAGACACGCACACAGACTGCACACCATCAGCGCCGCCTTCGAGGCGCTCCGCAAGCAGGTAAGCCGGACACACACACACACACACACACACACACACACTATCCCGCGCGCACACACAGACACGCACACAGACCCCAGAGTAGCGCATTCCCCTCCCTCCCCCCCCCCATGGATCAAAAATAGACTGGACAATTTGAGGCGGTGGGATCAGGTCTCTTTGTTTTCAGCAGGGAGGGTGGGGTGGACTAGAAGACCTCCTGAGGTCCCTTCCAGCTCTGTCGTCCTGTATAAGGCTCCTGCCTTGAGCAAAGGGTTGGACTAGAAGACCTTTGAGGTCCCTTTCAGCTCTGTCGTCCTGTATAAGGCTCCTGCCTTGAGCAAAGGGTTGGACTAGAAGACCTTTGAGGTCCCTTTCAGCGCTGTCATTCTGTATTAGGCTCCTGCCTTGAGCAGCGGGGTGGACTAGAAGATCTCTGAGGTCCCTTTCGGCTCTGTCATCCTTTATACGGCTCCTGCCTTGAGCAGCGGGGTTGGACTAGAAGACCTCCCGAGGTCCCTTCCAACTCAATTGCAGGTAGTCCTCAACGTACGGCCACAGTTGAGCTCCAAATTTATCTGGCTACGTGAGACATTTGTTAAGTGGGGTTTGCCCCGTTTTGTGACCTTTCTCCCCAAAGCTGTTAAGTGAATCTTTGCAGCTGTTAAGTTAGTGACCTACACACAGAGAGAGGGAACGACAACCTGCCTCCAGAAGCTGTGAATGCTCCAACACTGGACAGCCACTTGTCTGAAATGGTATAGGGTTTTTTGCCTGAGCAGGGGGTTGGACTAGATGACCTCCAAGGTCCCTTCCAACTTTATTATTATTATTATTATTATTACTGGGCGCATGAAGAGGCTGATTAAGCGATGCATGGCACGGGCTAGTGGCTTGACACTGTGTGATTTGGGTCTGGGGGGGGCAGGCCAGCAGCGCCTGCCCCCCACCCACCCCACCCCGCCCCTCCCGAAGAAGCGATCCTGCATGAATCACCCCGTAATCTGGAAAGTTCACACGGATCTCTCGCCGGGTGTAAATTATACCTTCCTGTTAATCAAGGCTGCTTTCCTGTCGGCTATCCGGCTTTGCTTTGCGCTCCCGGCATGTTTTCCCAGGGTGCGTGAGAAGCGCAGGCTACAAAATCAAACCATTCGTCCAAAAATGAATTGCGGTTGCACGTGTCGCTATCCAGGTTTATGTCTTGTTATAAACACGGTTATATAAAGGCAGGACGGGATCAGAGGTCAAGCCAGCTTAGCTTCCGCTCTGAAAGAGCTGGGAGCACCCCAGTTGCTTCCGTCTCCCAGTTAAGGGCAACTGGAAGCTTGCTTCAGTCCAAGCTAACTTAGATTGCTTGAAATCAAACAAACTAGGATTGCTTTGAGACCGGGTTTACCGGGTCCACTGGGAATCCTAAATCCTTGCAAATAATTCCAAGAAGTGTCATTCAGAATCTATTCTATTCTATTCTATCCTATCCTATCCTATCCTATCCTAAGGATAGGATAGGATAGGATAAGAGGTTATAGATATAAGGCAAGATAAGATAAGATAAGATAAGATAAGATAAGATAAGATAAGATAAGAGGTTATAGATATAAGATAAGATAAGATAAGATAAGATAACACAAGATAAGATAAGATAAGAGGTTTATCTATATTCTATTCTATTCTATTCTATTCTATTCTATTCTATTCTATCCTATCCTATCCTATCCTATCCTATCCTATCCTATCCTATTCTCCAATATCTATATTCTGTTCTATTCTATTCTATTCTATTCTGCTCTATTCTCCAATATCTATATTCTATTCTATTCTATTCTATTCTATTCTGCTCTATTCTATTCTATTCTATTCTCCAATATCTATAGTCTATTCTATTCTATTCTATTCTATTCTATTCTATTCTATATTTCAATATCCTATCCTATCCTATCCTATTCCGTTCCATTCTGTGATTCTATTCTGTAATTCTATTCTGTAATTCTATTCCATATTCTATTCCATATTTATTCTATTCTATTCTATTCCATTCTAATATTGAGGTTTTGCTATTTGGGGATATTTAATTCCAAACTACTGGAGATGTTAAATGGCAGGACAGGTCTGGGAGGGGGGTCCTCTGAGCCGGCTTTCCTGGTCTCGCCTGGGTTGCAATTCCAGCCTCTTCAGGCCCCAAGGCCACAGATGAACTTCCAGAAGTCTACCTTGATGCATCTCATTGAGAAGGGCTGATGCAAGCCGTACTTGCTGCTGCTTCTAGACATAGGAGGGTATAAATAGAAACAATTAAAGCTAGCAACATCCTTGTGCCATCATTTGTCCTTATTCAGCCATTAGCTGGAGGCTGGGAAGAAATCATAGCAAAATGCATTGTGAAACATAAAAGGGCATGGAGGCAAACAGCTCAGGATTCCCCTCTACCCTCCCCTCCTCCCCCTTTTTTTTGCATTTTGGGGGAACTGGGTTGTGTTAAGAAATCACACCACACACTTCTTCAGTTCAGATGTTGCACCATGCTCTCCAAGTGACGCTTGCTCCTGGGGAGGAAAGCCATGGCAGATCTAGACAGCATACTAAAAAGCAGAGACATCGCCCTGCCAACAAAAGTGCGTATAGTCAAGGCCATGGTTTTCCCAGTTGCAATGGATGGCTGTGAAAGTTGGACCCTAAGAAAGGCTGAGCGCCAAAGAATGGAGGCCTTTGAAAACTCTGGTGCTGGAGAAGACTCCTGCGAGTAACCCTGGACTGCAAGGCGATCCAACCGGTCAGTCCTAGAGGAGATCAACCCCGACTGCTCTTTAGAAGGCCAGATCCTGAAGTGGAAACTCAAGTGCTTTGGCCACCTAATGAGAAGGAAGGACTCCCTGGAGAAGAGCCTGATGCTGGGAAAGATGGAGGGCAAGAGAAGAAGGGGACAATGACAGAGAAGGAGGGGGCTGGATGGAGTCCCTGAAGCAGGAGGCATGAGCTTCAATGGACTCCAGAAGATGGTAGAGGACAGGAAGGCCTGGAGGAACGTGGTCCATGGGGTCGCAATGGGTCGAACACGACTTTGCAACTAACAACAACTAGAGAGATTCTCAGTCATCCGGGTCATGGTTGTCCCAAAGGTGCTTTTTCAAGAGGCAACTGGACTTCCTTTGTTTTTTTCCTTTGAAGATATTTTACTTCTCATGCCAGGAGCTTCTTCAGTTCTGACTGAACAGGGAGGAATGGAAGGATTTATGTTTTTTGTAGTCATCTGGTCGTTAGCGCTCTCTCTGAGAGTCGTTGAGAAGAAAGTCCAGTTGCCTCTTGAAAAAGCACCTTTGGGTAAGAATCACTGTTGGTGATGGTTGGTTGGTCGGTTAGATAGTTGGTTAGCAGGTTGGTTAGTTGGCTGGCTGGCTATCTTGGTTAGTTGGTTGATAAGGTTCCCTCCAGCCATTTTCAACTCCTAGTGACCCAATTGATCAATTTAATCCGTAGTGATCTGGACTAACCTGGCCCCCTAATAGATCTAACGTAGGTAGCCCTCAGGGTGCCCCCACAGTGGAGCCCAGAATTTCTGTTACTAAGCGAGACAGATGGTCAAGTGAATTTTGTCCCATTATACGACCTTTCTGGCCATGGTTCTTAAGTGGATCCTGGCAGTTGTTAAGTTAGCAACATGGTTGTTAAGTGAATCAGGCTTCCTCGTTGAACTTTGCTTGCCGGAAGGTCGCAAAAGGGGATCACGTGACCCCCAGGGACACTGCGACCATCATAAATATGAGTCAATGGCCAAGAGTCTGAGTTAGGATCACGTGACCCCATGGGGATGTTGCAGTGGTCGTAAGTGTGAAAAACGCTCATAAGTCACTTTTTTAGTATACACACACACACATATATACACACATACATATATACACATATACACATACACACACACATATATACATATATATACACACACATATATACACATATATACACATACACACACATATATATACACATATGTACACATACACACACACATATATATACACATACACATATACACATATATACACATACACACAAACATATATATACATATATACACACAGATATACACATACACACAGATATATATATATATACATATATACACACACACATATACACACATACATATATACACATACACACACACAAACACACACATATATATACATATGTACACATACACACATATATATATACACACACATACACACACATATATACACATACACACACACACATATATATATACACACACATACATACATATATACACAGACACATACACACACATAGATATATACACATACACACACACAAACACACACATAGATATATATATACACACATCCGTGTTTGTGGGACGTTGCAACCGTTCTGGCATTTTGGTCCTTTCACGGAGTCGAATCGATTCCTTGCGGTCTTTTCCCCAGTGCAAAATATAATATATTTGGCAGAGCTGCGGAATGTCAGTTGGTCTTTTTTCAGCGCTCGGCCACATGGGGTGAAAAAAAATAGCTTTGTATGTGAAAGCAACGTTATAAAGCTTTTACGAGTCTCCAGATATTTCAAGCAGTTGCTTTTTCCC